TGGTTGTTTTGGGTACCCCCCTCATATATTGGAAATACTGCTATACAATATAATGAAATACAGTGTATTTCTATGTATTTTCTATGTACTAAATATATAAAATATTTTAAAAGACTAGTACTCAGGAGGAGCCATGGTGGGTGTAGTGGTTATGTGTTGGCCTGCTAACTGCAAGGTCAGCAGTTCAAAGCCACCAGCAGTTCTGAGGGAGAACAATGAGGCTTTACTCCGTGAAGGGATAGTGTTGGAAACCCATAGAGGCAGTTCTACCCTGACCTGTAGGGTCACTGTGAGTTGGAATAGGCTTGATGTCAGTGAGTTTGGAGTTTTGGAGCACTCAGTATTAGGGAAATGTGGTAAATGAGAGTTTCTAAAGGAAAGTTTATGTAAGTGCAGAGTCCTCTGGAGTGTGGTAATATCCATGCACTCTCGAGAAACTTACCCAGTTCTTGAATTGCTCATTTACTTGTAGGAAATGATGTTTAAAAACAAAACCTACATTAATGGTATTAACTACCCCCCTATTTATAATACAGAAAGGAAATAAGCTAAAAGCCCCGCAAATTACGTTGAAATTGGGCAGCCTGTGTTCTAGGTACCTGCTAACTGAAATCTGGTCTCTGAAGTATGACCAGGGACCAGCAGCAGAAGTACGATCAGGAAGCTGTTAAAAATGCAGAGCCTCTGGCCCCACCCCACTTTTTCTGACTTAGAATACATAGTGTCAGTAAAATCCCAAAGTGATTCAGATGCACATGGAAGCCTAGAAGCATGGCTTTGGATGCGATTAATCTCCAATTCTTGTAAGTGAAATCACATTTTTCAGTTATTTGACAAAGAACCTCAAACACAAAGATCTGGAAAAAAAAACCCTACCTTGAAGCGAATATACTTTATAAGGTCAAACTCTTTGGCATACATCTTAAAGTATTCCAGGACCTTGGAGTTGTGCATGAAGTTGGGAAAGTGATCTGGGATGGGATAGTCGCTGAAGCACATCATCTCCTTAGAAGTATTGATGACCACGGATTTGTAAATACTGGCCCTTCCATCTTCAGGGTTTTCCTGCATTAATAAGAAACATTCATAGCGAGTTTAATATCAACTTCACCTTTTATAGTCAATTCTACATTTGAAAGAGTAACAAACTGCGGACACACACACACAGGGTGTTGGGTAGTGTATGGCTGGATCAATACCAGGCGGGCTTCTAGCAGTAAGTGACCTTGAGTCTCCCCCACCCATGCGGAGCTGATCAGAGCTGGCTGAAACAACTAGCAGCAAGTGGCCTTGAATCTCCCCCACACACCTGCGGAGCTGACCAGAGCTGGCTATGTAACCTGTCAGCAGCTTTGCAAGTTTTTTTCTTTCTTTTACTCATGGCCCGTTTTGTTCATGGCCCATTTGGCTCAGTGCCCGCTTTGTTCTCAACCCACCGCTCTGCACCTGGCATGAATACCCAGGGAACCAGGAAGACACCTTACATTCCAGAAACCCAGACATACCTGTACCTCCCAATCCCTGACTACTTTACCTTATATGGACTCAAGACAGCCCACTCACATGTTCTCTGGCCATATAAGCACCACCCCTGTAGCCTGGGGCACAACTCCCTTGGCCGGGACACTGTGGACCGTGGGACTTCACCCAGGCTGGGTTTTTCTCCCCAATAAAACCTGTTTGCTCTAATTCAACTGATTTGGTCTCTGGCACCTCTCTCCTGCTCAGGAAAATTGCTGCAGAAACTGTTGTGTTATTGAA